CATCATTTGGATCAGTATACAATGTACGATTTTAACTGATGTTGAAATTGATTTAGTATACGTGAAAATATCTCGGTAATTCTTGTTCTTTTTTATTTATTTTTAACACTAACATCAAGATCATGGTTTAGTATGTCCGTTTATGTAAAAATATTAAAATACCTAAATTTGTTAGATGACTCAGTATACTTAGGAGGTATCGATTTGTGGTAAGAGGGCAGAGTGTATTGATATTAGGAGAGATCGAATTTTAAAAGAGATTAATAATGCAAATCTTAAGGTTACTTTGCAACAAGTACCCCCCAGTTCAGAATATTTATTCGATCGTGAAAAATTACACCCTATTATTCAGTCTTTAGGAGGCACTCAGATGTGGTTAAATACCCCAACATATTTAGTGGATAAGCCTTGCTCATCTGCTTTGCATAGTAATCATTATACAGATATGAAAGAGAATAAGAAAACAAATGCGTCACGTAGTAAATTCCACCGCACCCAACAAAAATCTAATAAATCGAGTTCTAACAAAAGGAGCCAGACGTTTCGTCGCCATAACACAGAAACAAGTCAGATTCCTAGAGCACCACAAAAGTGACTCCTTCAAGGGGGGCTGCCTCCGGGACCATTTAGAGGCCTGGAGCAGATGCAGGGTGGGTGCACACATGAACGGCAGTCTTCTTTCAGCAAGTGGTCCTCGATTCAGAAGACATGCATTCGAATGTAAAAGAGATGTATGCTGTCTTTGCTGCCATACAATCGCAGAAAGACTCTTTGTGGAACGCACATATACTGATACAGTCCGACAACAGGACTATTGTGTCGCATATAAACAAACAAGGCGGCACTCGCTCCATTGCTATGTTGAATCTAACCACAAAGCTGTTGAACCTAACCGAGCAGCTCCATATACAGCTGTCGGCAACTTACCTCCCAGGGAGGGTTAAACACAATCGCAGACCACCTATCAAGAGGTCGACCAACACCAGAGTGGCACCTCTTGCCTCAGGCCGTGGAGACTATATTCAAAAGATGGGGCGTGCCAGAGGTAGACCTATTCGCAACAAAGGAGACGGCTGTAGTCGGTCTATATGTCACCTTAGACTCAAAAGATGGCTCCGCACTTTTTTGCGACGCCTTCAGCCGCCAGTGGAATTTCAAACTGGCGTGGGTGTTTCCACCACCCAATCTAATACCCAGGGTCCTTGCCCACCTGAATATGGCGAGGGGCAATTACATCCTCATAGTACCGTATTGGAACCAGTGCTTTTGGCTGCCAGATCTACGGTCTCGAACCTTGACGGAGCCAATGACAATCCCATACCTGCGGAAGGTACTCATAGATCAGACCACGGGTCTCAGCCCACCACAGGTGGATCGTTTGCAACTCCAGGCTTGGATGGTTGGGGGTGGTCTGAACAAATAGCAGATTGGGATAATAATGAACGAAAACTGCTGCAAGGTAGTTGGCGTTCGTCTACCTTGTCTACTTACAAAGCTCCTATAAGTAGGTGGGTACGTTGGTGCAGTGCGAGGAACATTAGTGTTAGATCTCCAAAAGGAGCAGACATCGCCCGGTTCCTAGCTAATTTATTTCTGCATCACGGATTTGCGTATAACACCATCCTCTTGCACAAGTCTGCTATCCTTACATACTGTAGGCCTTCAGCATCAGAGGATTATACTAAAGATTTTTTCATCAACCAAATATTAAAGGCCATTAGTGTTGCTAGACCGAGGTTAAACAAATCACCGATCTGGGACACAAAATTATTATTCGATTGGTTACTTAACTCTACCAGAGTAAATACTCATTTTGACATAGCAAGGCGCACTGCACTAATATTACTGTTGGCTTCAGGACGTAGAATTCATGACTTGACCTTACTACTAATTTGTAAAGAAAATTTAATAATATCGGAAGATAAGATTATTTTATGGCCTAAGTTTGGTTCAAAGACTGACACTGGAACCCATCAGCAATCTGGATGGTTATTGTCACGACATTCTAACTTTAGAGTATGTCCTGTACATGTTAAAGAATTGTTGGAAATTTCTCATAATAGACGAGGTGAGGGGAATCAGGTCGATAGTTTGTTTCATAACAATGTCAGGAGTACCTTAGACCTGCTTCAAGAACCCATCATAGCAGGATGGATAAGATCTATTTTCAAAGAAGCCTCCATAGATGCATCACCTGGAAGCATAAGATCAGCCGTCGCGTCCAAGAGCTGGCTTAATGACAGGCCCTTGCAGGAAATATTAGACAGAGGTAATTGGAGGAGTACCTATCTCCACTTTCACTAATCATTATTGTCGTCCTGTTCATCGTTCTGTGCATCAGTCTGAAGACTTGTTGCAGTCTAATTTTTCTTCAGTGTAATCGTAGATTAATTCTATAGTATAATTATTCTATTTTTAACCGACTTCAAAAAAAGGAGGAGGTTCTCAATTCGACTGTATTTTTTTTTTTTATTGTCACATGCACAATCTAAACTATTAAGTTGATGGTTATGACGTATATGCTGTCATATTTAGTTATTAATTACTTGCTCAATAATTATTGTCGGATTGATTATGAGTAATATGTATATTTAGTAGCACTGTAATACTAAAATAATTTAATCAGCTACATATGATAATTGTTGTCAGTATTAAATACATCAATATCAATTCACATAGCGTTTGTATTTCTTGTTCTTATTTCTCACCAGCAGATAACAAACAGATCTTCATCTCAACGCTGTGTGTTTTATCCGACACATAACATCTGTTTTGTTTTAGTGCAAAACAGTTCTATTGTTTTTTTTTTAATTGACCCAGTGTTTACCCAGTTACCCTACATCGAACAGTACAGAAATCTGCATCGTTTTTAAGAACTTAACAATTCTAGGAACTTTCTGTTGCAATAAATATACATAGGTAAAATGACATTATTTTTTAATATATTATAGGTATTGAATATAATAATATATTTTGTCACTAACTGACCAAGCAGATGCAGAAGTTGGGTGGTTAGCAATAAATGTTCGTGACCAACCAGTTGGTCAACTCGGGTGGTCGGTTCGGAAACATGGTTCTCTGGCTAGAACTGGCTGCTAGACGCCACTAGTTGTTGCAATGACTATACAGTGGCTAGAAGTCTGATTATAGTAGGAAATATGGGCATTGGGAAAGCTGCTCAGGTGGTTTGGGATATTTCAAATTAAACAAAAACTTATTAAACCCAACAATTTATTAAATGAATACTTGCTATTAATGCACTTTTGCCTTGATTACAGCTGACTCTGCTTGCTGACCTGTAATGATAAAAAAAAACAGTTTAATCAGTCGAAACCAAGTGTGAGCGGATACATTTCGAGTACTGTTGATTATTTTCAGAATAGAATCAAAAGGGAACATATGTTTTCATCATATATGTTTCATTGCGAGCTAGGTGGATCATCATGATTAATCTCTGAACGCTGTTACGGTTGAAACAAATAACTAAGGCGCTGTCGAAGTCGCATGTGTTGCCCCCATGTATCACGGACCCGGCACGGAATCCATGGAACGCTAAGAAATAGGTCTCAGAAAAGTTCGAAGGAACTAAGCGGCATTGAATAAAATACTGCAAAAAAAGGGAATCTCTTTTCTAAGCCAGAAATCGTGGGTTCGATTCCCACCCAGAACAATTAATCGTGTGATGAGCATGATCAATAGTTCTGTGTCTGGGTGTAATTTATCTATAATATGTATGTATTTGGAAATATTGAAGTATGTTAGCAATCTGATTACCACACCACAGGCTCTGCCTAGTTTGGGATCAGACAGCCGGTGTGGTATTTTTTTTTTTTTTTTTTTTTTTTTTATTTAATTGGCTCACCAACAATTGTATACACTGGTTATCATTTGAAAGACATATTACAATGAGTATGAAGTGGCATAGTGTTACAATTACTTATAGGTAAGCACCTCATGTGCTGTAAACAATAATTATTTTATGCTTAAATATACTAAATTATACAACTAGGTTTTGGCAAAAACAGATAGAATTAAGTACATTTAAAAAGCATTTTGTATAGCACTGCGGAATTTGGTAAGTGAGTCAACATGTATATCAACCAGGGCACTGCAACTATTGAGCAGTTTGCAAAGTCGTGGGATGGTGGAGTTCGCACCGAGAATACTTCTGCGAATTGGAGGATGCAGGGGGTTGATAGGAAAACGGTATTATTGGCACTCGTCAATTGACAATAGATGTGCAAAAAAAAATGCGAATCTTACCTTTGGTGATAATGCTGAGCAGGTGCAGAGCAAGGTAAGCCTCGTTGCCATGAAGTCAAGGCAAGGATACCTCGACAGCGGTCTCCTCGGTACCCAAACCTGTGGATTTATTTCTCATCTTAATATGATGTCATACAGAAAACTGTTAAAATTAATGAAATGGTAAATTTCAGTAGAAAATCAAAAGGGAACACGTATTTTCATCAGATATGTGTCATTGCGAGCTAGGTGGATCATCATGATAAAGGCTTACAAACTTATTCAGGTAAGTTCTACAAAAAATCATTGTCTGCACTTGTTAATCTATAAACATTGACTAATTCAGTTCATTTCAATATGAACATGGAACCTGAAAGTAAACATTACTAATTAAAAGTAAAAAAACGATGCAATGCTCACCTTTTTTGATGAAGGAATCTGCCACCGTGGATTTAAGATCTGAGACCAATAAATTAGCGTGCAATCTGAAACCTATATAAATTCCTGAAAAGATACTAAGCGCACGGAATAAAACCAAAAGGAAACGCCACATCCCTATTCACAGGGATTTCCTTTTTAGGGTACACCTGAGACCACTCGACAATAAGACCTGACCTGGTGACCTCTGTTCGAATCCAACATATCTCCCCATAAACTAAGTATAGCGTTTACCTTCTTTATTATTATTCAGTGTATTATTTTACGGATGTCACATGTCTTAAATAAAACAGCAGATCAATTTATAAACGTATATTAACTTAAACGCTCTCTTGTACGGGAGGCTCATAGCCCTCAGGGCGCTCCGACTTGTCGCCGGCCTCACCCCTCTTGCCACTGCCACCTTCGCCGTGGAGTTCCATCAACTTGGAGATCTCGAAACGCGGCCTCTTCAGCACCTTGACCTGTGGAATTATGTTTTACTTAAGTCTAATGTGAAATGGTTTACATTTTATGTTATAGAGTTAGTAAATATCAGAATATAATCAAAAGGGAACATATGTTTTCATCAGATATGTGTCATTGCGAGCTAGGTGGATCATCATGATAAAATTACTAAATTTGATGTTGATTTGGTACATGAATATTTTGAGCTATTTTCCATCAGCATTATTACAACATAGACACCGATATCAGTAGCTATGTCTGCATATTGGCATTCTAACAGCACTTTTCCTTAATCCAATGTGTAGTCTATTTTGTGGTCTAAAATAAATAATTCTAAAATCTACATTCAGTACCGGTATCAAGTATCTAACATCTTCAGATACTTGATATAGGTATGTACTTTAATTATTGATAGCTTATTGTACTGAATATGCTGTATATGGAGTTTCGTCATTTTAGTGAGCATCTGTGACCATATTTTTCAATAACTTCATGGAAAACACTTGGTGATTCAATACCTAATCAACATCTTTTATTATAACAGTTTTACAAACTGGAATAGTAATGAAATCTCACCTTTCTAATGCAGACATCTCTAAGTGGGTAGATACCGTGGCACGACTTCTCGATATCCTTGGCAATGGAATCAGGAATGAGTTTGTTCACGACCTCACGCAATTCAGAGTTGGTCACGTCACGGGTGATGATCTCGCACATCTTTTTTCTGATGGCACGGACCTGTACAAAGAATATTATAGTTAGAAATAGCACTGAACTGCACTTCAACATACAAGCTAGTAATGCTTGTTAAATATTTTGGATAAATTATGTTTATATAGGCTGAAATAATTCAAATAAGACTGAATTGTTTATTTTACTCAGAATACAGTAGTATATTGAACCATTCATTGGATTAAAAACACATTTGGTATCTTGCTATGAGGACTGCAATATTTAAAAAACAAAATTGAAATAATTGACTAATTAGCTACTCTACACTATTGCAAACATAGACCCATTAACTTGTAATTTTAAAAGAAGTATTTAGAATCTACAAGTTTCAATGGTAGGAGTGTTGCAAAACGACGAACAGCCTGCGGTCTGCCCACAAGCCGCGTTCGTTGTCATTGCAGTTAATATACGCAGAACTGTATAGAGAGCAAGATTCTGACCTAAGCTCTCTACTGTGCGCACTGCGATACTATATGTATTGACTAAATAATTTATATGTGTAACATTGTTTTCTTAACGACAGTTCATTTTTTTTGTAATAACACATTAAAATAATAGGCACATATGATAGTACATCAATAAAATTTTAGACTTAAAGGTAAGCAATAAAGTCCCTTAGTTTTCCACGGTATAGGTTGAATATTTCATTGAAATGTAAAAAGGATCAAGACGTTTTAAATGAAAAAAAATAAAAGTGAAAAATTGATATTGGTTTTCAAATCAGGAAAATTTATATACATAAGTAACACAACAAAAAAATAAGTTAAATTGAAAATCTTTGAAGGAGTGCAATCCATCTACTTTTTATCACAATATATCTGGCATAGCACAGACTGTATAACTATATGAAGAACATTTCCTAAGAACTCCCTAAGAACAATTTCTGAAGAACATGCCTAAAGGCACAGCCTTAACCTCACTAAGGCCTTCGGGTAAGGCTGTGATGTATAACTGGAGTACATACAGCCTTAACATACCTGGGTGTGCTGAGCATAACAGGTCTTGCGCTGACTAAGAGAGTCCTTGTTGGTGAAACCAATGCAGAAAACACGGAGCAGGTAGTTGTCAGTGGTCTTAACATCGATGTTGGCCTCCACAAGAGTCTGCCATTTCTTAACCATCCATCTGTGAAATAGAGAACACAGTGAATAAATATGGAAAGATGGAACATAAGATTTTTAATGCACATGAGATAAAAATTTAATTAAATGATTAATTAATCAATATTTTTTTATGTATTTAGTAGGGCGGCGATAAGCAGGTGACAAACAAATAAAACACAATCTTGAAATCTACTTTGCTCTACCTCCTCCTAAAATTGAGCATCGAGTGAAATGGTAGTAATCCACACAGAACAACTATTTGTGCTATTCAAATTATAGTTTCTTTAGATTTATTTTATTTTTTAACGATTTCAAAATAAGGCAAATATCTCTTAAATACTGCCAGATTACACTTGACAGACAACTTAACAGATATTATACAAATTGATCTGAATACAGAATTAAGATATTTCCGTTAGTTTGTTATCATTTTTGTCTTGTTTTGTCAATAAAAATGTTTGTTTGATTTTTGTAGCAGCGACACAAGGTACCAAAGTACACAAGAGTACAGAGGCGCTTTAGTGCAGCAGCATTTGCTTTCTGCAGACTGTAACGATATGAAGACCATATGGTTTTTCTTCATATAGCTGGACTGCAGTAATCACTGACACACATGTAATCATTGGCTATTTAGATTTTTTTAAGTTCAGTACACAATTTTCAGCCAATTTTCTTCCTCAAGATAGACCCCATAACTAAAATACTGATCCGTATGTATCTTACTAAAAATTGCTTTTAGCAAAAACTACATCTCTGTGTGCAACAGTATGTAACGGTGCATTTCGCACCATTACAGTAATTTGAACCTTAGTCTCGTTTTTGTTTTGTTAGGTTGAATTTTTTGTCGTTTCTGCGTGTGCCGATGGTCGAGGGGCGGACGAGAGTAATAATCGATGTTGTTCGCCCGCGATTAGTTAGTCGATTTAGTTTCCTTGTACTGGCAACATTTTTGTTTCCCCGCTCTATAGAGCGAGAGGCTATTGCACTGGTATCACTTTGACTTTCACTTTTGGACCGGCCGCCGAGAGAAATGAAGCAAAACAAATTTTGTCATTTAATTTTTTAGTAATCCGTAATTATTTGATATGGACGAGGGCCTATTTCCTCTTTAAATGTTTGGTCAACCTAGTTAAGACTCGAGCTAGTGGATCGAGTGATTATTTTTGCTGAAAAGGTAAGTTTTGTTCGGCCACGTGTTTCACGCTTGGCTTGGCGGAATTTGTGGTTTTAACTCTTTGTTTAATTCGTTACAGGCAATGCTTATAATGCTTATAATGCCGCTGCTTGATTTGTGAAACGTTTTGGAACCCTGGTAAGTGAAATATGATTTCTTGTCAGAGTTATGATTCATACTGTGAGATAGGCTTTTAACCTATAATTTTTCCTTATTTGCAGATGAATCAGGGTTTCTTTTTTAGTTTATATCTAAAGTTTTAATTATACTCTATTTTCCTTTTATACCTAAATCGCTTTACATTCTTATTGGAATGTCATTGCGTGGCATTCGATTTTTGTCTCTCGCCGGAGTTTGACCCCAAGAAATTAGATTGCTGTGGAGCACCGGATTGGTAGAAAAAGCTGCTTAGCTGCACGCCATTGTCTGGAGCCGGGGAGTGCTAACCCGCCTCTTACACCACGTGGGAACCGGAGTGAGAAGTTTCGGAGTTGGTTTGATTTCGTTTCATTCGGACTGATCCAAGGTCATCGGTATGTGTTTTTGTTATATTTTTCTTGGCGACGTGGCATTGAATACTGCAGGTCCCTAAGGGGTGTTATTTTTATTAGAGAGTAGGTCAATGCTATGTCTACCCTTAGAGTTTATTGTTTTGTCTATTAAGTCTTCATGCGACTTATTTAAAAGCCTATAAAGGTCAGTGGTATGTGTTTTGTGATATATTTTTCTTGGCGACGTGGCATTGAATACTGCAGGTCCCTAAGGGGTGTTATTTTTATTAGAGAGTAGGTCAATGCTATGTCTACCCTTAGAGTTTATTGTTTTGTCTATTAAGTCTTCATGCAACTTATTTAAAAGCCTATAAAGGTCAGTGGTATGTGTTTTGTGATATATTTTTCTTGGCGACGTGGCATTGAATACTGCAGGTCCCTAAGGGGTGTTATTTTTATTAGAGAGTAGGTCAATGCTATGTCTACCCTTAGAGTTTATTGTTTTGTCTGTTAAGTCTTTATGCGACTTTGTTTAAAAACCTATACAGGTCCCCAAAGGGGTTAATTTTAATTAAGGGAGTAGGGCGTTGCTACAACTACCCTTATACTCTTTTCTTTTTGGGTCTTCATGTGACTCTTTAAAACTTATTTAACCTTATATTTTTCTTATTGGAAAGGATTGCATTAATGACAGTACTAATTTGTGTATAAGAATTACCTATTGTAATTAGAGACATAAGACACATTGTACTCTACAGACACTACGGGATAATAAACTGCCATTAGAACTTAACATCTTGTATTCATTAGCTGCCTCCCGCTTTGTTTTAAAAAAGTTCAATGTTGGCTGAGATGTCCGAGGTATTTGTTGTGTTTGTGGTGGGTTCTGTGTTCTTTTAAGGTGGTATCTGGCGCCCGAGACTTTTATTTTGTTATTTTGTTTCTATTTGATGCCACCAATTTTAGTTTTATTTTCTTTATAACAAACCCAACACACATCAATTAAAATTTTTTTAATTTTTTATTATTACAAGTAGTAGCTGCATGCATAAAACCAAAATAATATTCTACTTATTTTTTGACATATTGTGCCAGAAAAAGTCCACATTTTTTGTATAATTTTTGATTCCTTTGGTTTTAAAATGACAAAAAAAAATTAGTAGTTCACTATTTAACTGAAAAATTTCAATAAATTGTAAAAGGTTATTCTGATTGTACTGTTGTTGAACACAGGGAACCTCTACTTAGTATGATTGTACAGCAGGTTTTGCATTGGTATTTGCAGCTGTACATTTCAAATCCTTAAAATTTGTAAATATTTAAGTAAATAATTTTACAAACCTGAGCTTGTCAGTGGTGAGGTCCATTCCGTGGAAGTTGCAGAGCACATTGCGACCCTGCACGTCTTCAGCAATCAGGCGGAACTTACGGAAGGACCTGATCAACAATTTATACATTAAATAAGTTAGAAATCTTAGTGACGGGTTGAAATTCTACATTTAATATATTGCTGGGGCTGTTTTCCTTTAAATTGGGGTCTCTTCTTCCCTAATATGAGCTGATGCTAACTGTACATGTGAGATTTACACAATTTGTTGTGCAATTTCAAGGTTACTTTCATTAAAGTGTGTGTGAAGTGTTCTTTTATTGAAAATGAGATATGAAGTGTTTTGATTGGTCCCATTTTTAATTTCCATAATTAGTTATATCTTTTGTATTTAATAATTTAATCTCAGGCTTATGGCTCAGTCTATACGTGACTTATGAGTTTTCATAGGATGCACAGAAATTTACAGAAGAAATACATTCTTTATATAGATTGTAGCAACGACACAAGGTACCAAAGTATTTAATAAGTACAGAGGCGTTTTTGTGCGGCAGCAAATACTCTCTGCAGACTGTAACGATATGAAGACCATATGGCTTATCTTCATATAGCTGGACTGCAGTATATAAATCAACACTAGTTTGAACTGCTTATCAAACAACAAATCAAGAAAGATAAGTTTAAAAACTAGTGTACTACTGAAACAAGTATCATTTTTATAATTTCTATAAATAGAAAATAACACACTAAATTAAAACACTCAAGCGTACATAAATCATAACCTATAACTTCTTTAAACAAGTTTGCATATTAAAAACATTGCTAATGTACACAGATGTCATTACAACAGATTTTGATTATACATAACGGTTAAGTGTCAAATTATGAAAAGTACTGTAATAATTGGATCTTGACATACCTTTCCGCATCAGTATCAGCTTGAAGATCGGCCAGCGAAACTTCAAAGACACGGCCCTTCAGTCCTTCAGATGCGATTTTTGTACCCTTGAAAAAGATTTAACATTCTATTAGTTGACTTGCTTAAATATAATATGATTTGTAGATACAAGGCATTGTTTTCAGAAGAAAATCAAAAGGGAAAAAATGTTTTCATCAAATTTGTATCATTGCGAGCTAGGTGGATCATCATATTGGTCATTTCTAGTCTAAGGTAAGGTATTTGAATGAACTCAACGGATAGCGTAGTGGTTAAGCGGTCACCTCATCACTTCCTGCACTGCAAATTGGACAACACTGTGTGATCTACAAATTATTGTTCTGAGTCTAGGTGTTCTTTGTGTCTGTTTCATGTATGTTTGTAAGGCCCCCCCGAGACAGGATTTATTTCAAGTGCAGAAGTTGTCTTTTAAAAAGAAAAGAAAAAATAATTGTAGTAAATATATTAAGGCTATTGAATATAACATCTAACTGCATGTTAAGCCTATTTAAGCAAAAACAACACCTTCGAGAGCAAGCAAAAATAAGAAGTTGACAATTAATTAACCTTTTCAAATAAATCACTTTTGAAAATAAAAACGTGGTAATTTTCTGAAGTTTGTTATCGGCTATTCTTTGGCTATAGTCTCCTTCTATTACCTAGACATTGCCGGCATACGCTTCATACAGAATAATTGAGTTATCAGCATGTTATTTTAAAGAAAAAATACGTTTAACATACCTGAGTACGGTTGACAAGGGTGGTGCCAACTTGTCTCTTGGTGAACATAGACGGTGCCTTGACATCGTACCAGTCTTTGCGGGTGAATGGGTCCACACTGAAAGATAACAATTATTAAACATAACCTCTAAGTGTTATAATCAAATCCACTTACCAATAATGATGGACACTATAACAAGACTTAATTTCACAAATCACGACAGTGAACCTTAGTAATCCATCAAACCAGTGAACTACTAGTAAGTGTAATCTAAGGAATTCACGAAAACATACTGACACGAGACATGAGTTTTAAATCTGAATACATTCGCAACATCACAACTTTCACGAATTGACCTACATGTTTCACGAAATATATATTACACTGTGTAAAGGATTTGGGGTTTATTTAACACTTACATCTTCTTCTTAACACCCTTTTTACCACCTTTCGACAGACCCTTATTTTTACCGACCGCCATGTTCACAATCTTACTTCAGAAAGACTTTATTTTATTTATGGTTGAAACTGGAGACATTCAACGACAATACAGAGAAGTGCCACAGACAAGCAAAAACAAAAACCTCAAATCATTAGTCGATTTCAGTTGGAGAGCGTAGAGTAGTCCCTGTTTAGAAAAAAACATATTTAATCTATACAAATTACATCTATGTAGTTTAAAACATTGAAAGCATTAAATAATCTCCTTTTCTATACCAGGCAAAAAATATATTTAATATATGTGGTCAGTTGATAGCTAAAGCCACCCCATCATTAGATTTGACTACCAGAGTGAAAAGTTCAAGAAATACCCATTTTAGTTAAGTAAAACCATTATCATCCCATCATCACCATAAATCTTCCTACTCTTTCCCCAAATTTATTTGGGGTTGGTACAATAAGTTTTCTTCTTACACTCTCCTTGATGACTCGACATCCTTAATCATAATCACGAACTGCTTTATTTCAATGCGAAATGGTTTTGGCTTTTGAAACGGAGTTGAGCGGATGGAAGCGAGACCAAAAAAATGTGTAACAAAACTTTTTTCCGACACCAGTTGGCTCGTCGACGCTCGCATCTGTTTCATATTTCATATATATATATATGGCAAATATTTACCAAAAAGTGAAAGGAATTTCGTTTCGACCGGGGGTCCATAGACCTTTTTCTATTATGACCGGTCACCTGCCTGATGAAAACCCTAATTGGGGATGTAATCGTTCTTATTATGTAGACAAGATATTTATGAATTCCAAATTTTCAAAAGGGGTTTTCCATCAAATCAAACAGCTTCACAGCTCTTTTTGCACCTGCAGGGCTGCCACTATCACATTAATATTTCTTTTTCATTACCTGTAGGTTGAACCAGACATCTAGAAAATTCAAAATTCTTCTTATTAACAAAGCTACGTTTTATTCATTTGTTATAACTTTTATTTTATTCACATCAAACTGAAAATATACTTTATTCAACTACTTTATTTTCAAAGAAAGAATCACGTGAACGCCGATTTTATTCGATTATCCTGTACTAGAAGATTAGTTTAAAGGTAACCAATAATAGAATATAATTTAATAGGTAAAATAGGAGAAACACTGTAAAAAATGATCGCTACCTTGAGAGTGGGATAGAATATTTCCAGAAACAGTGAAAGACAAAGATGCTGAACAAGTTATTAAATCAAATATCTATTACGAGTTTCGAGAAGCTCATCGATTAAAATTGTCCAAGAAGTCAAGACACGCTAATGTTTAATGGAGTTTAATTTAATAGCCTCTATTAAATTATAATAAGTACATTAACATGGTCTTTTCATTTACATTTTTAATTTCCCAGGTTAGAGTCTGTCATACTGACACTTATATACTATACTCTGCGTCGTCTATTTTTTTATTAAACATTTTATGGAATTAAATTTATTTAAGGATTTTTTGACCAAGAACAAGTCAAAAATTCTTTAAAATCTCTGTGTTAATTTTTTTAACACAAAGAGATTTTTAAATAATAAACAGATTTGTTACGTCTGCAGTCATAAAAATCCTGATGGTCATTTAAGACGATTCGATTTAGATCGTAACTGTCAAATGCTTCAAACACCTTCTTGGGAATTTGAGTGACGTTTAGAAACACTTAAAAGATACAAATGATTAATTTGATCCTGTATTTAACTATTAATTAAAAATATCCCATATACATCCAAAATATCATAGAATGACAACCCCAAAAGTAACCTGTCAAAAAAGCAACCCGCGCTCGTACCTTTGAAAATGGCACCTCGTTTTGATTCACAAAAACTTGTTTACTTTCAATATGACATGACATCTCTACCGGCAGTACCGGCACTGGTAGCGTTCCTAGCGTTAGCTAAGTTGTACGGCAATTGATAATTCGCTTTGCCAGAATATTACCTTAATATTTTAAATAAACTTTAAAATAAAATGGTACAATATTTTGACGGGAGACTATTGGTGACCAAAAAATGTGATCATATTTTCAAAGTTCTTTCACTGTCATACTTGATTTATTCTGTCTCTATCTCCTTAGTTATTGCCTGGCATCTTACTCTTTGGCCAATGAATGACAGCAAAAACGTCTATCCAGTGTTGCCCACCTTGTGGATTTTCCACTAAAATGTGGTGGTGACACTAAAATGTGATGGGGTGGTTTCGTACCCCCCGTTTAGTGGCGAAATTTTGCTTTTAATGGCTAGTGGATTTTTCTAGTGGTTTAGTAGTAATAGTAAGATTGTAGAGGACTTAGGAAATGATATTGAAAGATGAGCTGTAAGAACTGTTGGTGTACGCAAATCTCAAGAACCTTTGATAGTTAAGGAAGGATGAGATCTGATAGAAGTGCTCAACAAGAGAAAGATTAATAATCTTAAATGATGAGATGATGTATGCCTTGTGCCAGAGAGAGGGGAAAGTTCCGCAGTCAAGAAAGAAGTCAATAATGTGGGCTATAACTTCGAAAACGTAATCCAGGATGTTATCTATCATCCTACTGCTAACGTCTTCACAACCCTTTGCGTTACAACAGACAGACAGGATGATCTTTTTGATATCCACAGAAGGCACAAGGAAAATTCAAAGTTGACAATATTGGGTCTGGGCAGACTAGCGATGTAATTCAGGGTCCGACTCTTAGTTTGATGATGCGGTTGAGTGGCAGAAGAGAAGTAAAGATTGATATCATTCAAACCAATAGTCGTTCGAAACTCGGTCCGTTGTTGCCTACCAATGCCCAACGTGTTAAAGTTAGGCTCACGTGTTAGGCTCGTGAAAGATGCCCAAGGGACTGCGACGGGTCCATATTGGCTCACATAAAAATCTTATTCCTATTTTTAATTTTAATACCGTTTTGTGTTCATAAAATTTTATTACTACCAACATAACTTTTACTAAGAACAATTTTCTTATTAATAATGGTATCTTATTAATATAGTATTAATAATTAGGAGAATATTTGAAATCATGATATTGTTTTTCACAACGGTAACTATTCAAAATAAGATTTACCAATGACTTTAATTATTTACTGAAAAGTATAAATGCATCTCAAGAATAACAACTTTGTATAATGAAATCTATTTCTTCCTAGCTGTAATTTAGTGGTTATTAACAGTTTATTCCTGTTAGAAGGGTAATCGTGCAAACTTTTTCAATCAGATTAATAATTACAGGAATATGGGAGTCCAAATGTTAGTTAATTTCAAAGACGCAGGGACTTAGAAGTAGAAGTACGATTCTTCGCTCGCCGTCTACTACATTGCAATTATTAGTAAATATGTTCGGTTCTGGCGCTTCTGACCCGTTATGTGTGTATAATCATTCTGATTAGGAGTTTCAACGACGTTTCTCTGCGCGATGGAATTACGAATGTAGAGATCCGCAGACGAACTAAAGTCACACACAGTACCCGAAGAATTGTGAAACTTTAAGTGGAATGGCACATTGCTTGCAGAAAAGACGGCTAATGGGGCCAATAAGTTCTGGAATGGTGACCACGTATCGAAAGACTAACAATCACATTATAATAAAGGAAACGAATCATTAATATACTAATGGTTTTCTTTCGTCATTATTAAAAAAAATGATTAGTGGAAAATTTAGTGACTATTAGAGTAAGGCCGTTTTTCGTTACTGGCTTTCTGGGCCTCAATTCTGCTATTTTATGTTCACGCAAAGCCACTGTCATATCACTGACACGCTATTGAGATGCCATCGAGTGGCCATTGGCATCGGTATAAATATCGGTAGTTGAAAATAGATTACGTTTTTTGAGGAAATGATTTATTTAGTTTTATTATAATAAATTATTAAAAGAAATAAATAAATTAAAATAAAACATTAAAAAAATAAAATATAAAAATTATAAACAAAAAAGAAATAAATAATTTTTAAAATAATAAAATAAAAAAATCAATTCTTTAAAAAAACGTAATATATTTTCAAATTATAAGGAAATGATTCATTTATTTTAATATTTTTTTTAATTTAATTTTTTTATTTTAATTTTTTTTGTAGATTTTTTTTTTATAATCATTATTTTTATTTCTTTAATTATTTTAATTAATATCGATGCCAATGGCCACTCGATGGCATCTCAATAGCGTGTCAGTGGTATGACAGTGGCTTTGCGTAAACATAAAATAGCAGAATTGAGGCCCTGGTGGTTTTAGATATTGAATCTGGTGGAGAGTTCATTTAACCGTTGGCAACACTGCATCTATCATCAGACAGAATCGTACGCGTACGTTCATTTATTCAATCAACCGCTTCGCGCTGATTGAAAGGGAGTGTTCGGTACTTTCAATTTATTTCTACAAAAAACGATATTTGGAGTAATCGGGCCATCTTTTTAAGTTTTCACGTTGATATTAGTGCGCGCTGTGATATAAAGCTAATGCATTTATTTGATACCATTTGTTAGTGTTTAAAATCATGGGAGCTCATGTATCCAGAACTGATTTTGAGTGGGTTTACACGGAGGAACCTCATGCCAGTCGCCGGAAAATAATTCTAGGTATGTAATTACGTCATGTATTCCTATCTCGCTGATGTATATGTAAGTGTTGAGGAACATAATATTTTTTTGTATATTAGCCGACTAGTTATGCCCAATTTGCTATCTTCGAAAAACGAACTCGTGACATGGAATTCTAATGGTTGTGTCTTTAAAATAAGAATAATAGATATTTCATGATTATTTCATGATCATCATGATTATTATATTATTTTGTAAACCCATAATGCGTTACTTAAAAATTACCAATCCCTCATACCGACAATATCAGAAAGAGTACCTTATGTACATTAATTGTAAAGAACAATTTACCTCGTTAGCTGTGGTTTGTTTTTTTTATTTCATGTTCTAAAATCCCCAACTGGCCACCGAATTTAAAAATAATGGATAGCCCAAATCTTTCAATGTTAAAGAATACAATTTAAAGTCGAATTTTACATGAAAATACATCGAAAAAAATGCACGATACGGCTACTAATTGAATAGGAAGACCCAAAAAAAGTAGCAGTTGTTTAAAAAAAGCATATTAAATAAAACTAAATTAATTGAGTATAATATTATTTTTAATAACAAATGCATTTATTTACTTACGTAAATTATTAAAGTAAAAATACCTAAACATAAATAGTAGTAAAGTGACTAATCTAGTGTTCAATACAAGCTCAATACAATGATATAATGTACCAGTAACAAATGAATTAGGAGAAGTGAATCAGAGAGGTTGATCTATACTAATAAGAGAAGAGTATTCTAGAAACAAACTATGATTACTACTACTTCTACTATCATTTGAAGAAAATGGAAATATATATTTAGATATTTAGATTTTCATGTTATAATGGCTACATACATTTTACACATAGCAATATCTAATAAAATATAATATTCATGTATACAAATATTTGCCTTGGTAATTTGAATATTACCAAAGAATCCTGATCATTCTGAAACCTAGACTACAACCCTTGGTATAACACCTAAATAAAAATTAGTTTTATAAGAAATAAAAGCCAATAAAAATTACATCTTTAAACAGTTCCCACTATACCATACTATGGAAACATTGTTTCTTACCTGTAGATAATTATGCCTTTGGGACAGAATCTGGGATTCTGTCTTTGACTAAATAGAAAGATTTGACCGAGAAGACTGAACCTCAGTTGACGGAGCATTTCATGTAGGTACTTAATGAAAAAAAAATGTCCCAACTGTCCTATTTAGCAAGTAGGTAGATATAGATACCTACTGAATATACTATTAAAGGTAGACTTAGGGTACAAAATACTAATACTGTTCTCTACTACTTACAACTGTGAGAGTGGTTTCTCCATTTGAATTACACTACAAAGAAAAGCCAGTTCTTTTGTTTTATAAAGTATTGTTAAATAATAATAGTAACAACTTCAAACATCTCACACACGGCCGTCTGATCCCAAACTAGGCAGAGCCTGTGCTATGGTAACTAGACTGATGATAAACATACTTACATATTTCTATAAATTACACCCAGAGAGAATGATCATGTTCATCACACAATTATTAATCATCATCATCAACAGCCTTCAACGGTCCACTGCTGGACATAGGCCTCTCCTTAGAAAGGAGGTTTTGGCCTACTATACCACGCTGGCCAGAAGGGTTGGTATAGGGTTTGTGTCAAGTTTTCCTTCTCTTTGAAGCATTGTTGTCCTGTGTAGTTTGTAATATTAGTTATTAATAATTATGTGAGCCTAATCATTTGTTCTATGTCTAAGTGTAATTTTTTGGTGGTGGGTGGTGCCATTTTAAGATAATCACCTGCCACCTCTGTGTAATGTGTGTGTGTGGAATGTGATAAATTCTAAAAGTATCCAGTCGAATTTTTATATTGTTTCCGTTATTGGATAGGGTGATTGATGAGGAAGATTTAGGCATATAATTCATAACGATTTTGCATAAATTTGTTTAAAAAATGCCGACGATTGTTGAAAGTGGCGGGAAAAATCAGACCAATTGAAAAACTAAGGTTTACGCAGCGCAAGCTAATAGTATAAGCAAATATCTAGTAATAATATTACACATATAAAAAAAAAATTTTTTAAAAGACATGTTTTTACTCTTATAATGACAGACTAGTTTCGGTCCAGAGTTCGCGTTTCCGTCCGTCCCCCTTGAGTCTACGAGACGCGAGAATATTAAAGCTATGTCGTCATATTTGGCTATCACTTCATTGCAGAAGCAGGTAGTGAAAACTCACGTGCTCTTGCTATGGCTCATGAATTAAAGCTTGGTCTCTAGCTGTAGTTTGTAATTCATTTACCGATAGACGACGCAACTAGTATTGTCGTGATAGTTCGTCAAGATTAGATTGTCTATTGATCTTTTGGGAATATGATCATCCCTTTAGAACGAAAAATATCCAAGCACAAAGTATAAGTCAAGTATGAATTTAATAATACATAAAGCTTATTATTTTGAACTAGTAATTGATTTGAACTATATGTGTATGATGTCAGAAATTGCCCTTCAGTTTGGTATGTCTTTTGGCTTAGGTCTCCTCTAATTGGATGTTACTGGCAACTCTAGTCTTAAGGCAACGCGGAAATCATCTTCCGATCTTCTTGTTGTTGTCTGTTGCCTTTCTATCTTTTGGGCACCAGAGAGGGAAAAAATGTACTACTAATTGCTTGTATTATAGTTTTTTTTAAAACTAGAATGTTTTTCTTTCGGAGCTCTAATATTATTGGTGACCTAAAGTGGTTGTCATAATATTATGTAACAATGACTCATTTTCATTGAACGTGTCACCAATGCACATTGCTCCTACAATTAAGAAATAATAAATGTGTATAGGAATGTTAATAGAGTAAGTAGGGCATATAAAAATGTTAAGTTGGTTTGTGTGCACTTCGAAAACTCATAAAGTTCTGTACCAATTGAGTTAAAATTTTGAAAGGACACAACCTGCTTCAAATATTGTTTTTATCTATTTATGTGCCAAAATGGAATGTGGCAGAGTGCAGCTAGTTACTTTTATATGTTTAGACTCACTCCCACAACATGAGTACCGACTATGTACATATATCAGATATGTAGATAGTCGGTACTCTTGTTGTTAATCCATGTGAATCGTTGTGAATTGTTTATCCAAGCATATGCTGACCCTTAGACCTTTTGCTTTCTGTATTGTAGGTTTTCTGTATATTTCTACAAAAGTGCTGTAATGCTGAAATCAATAAACTGGTATTCTATTCTTAATCATATGGTACTTTTCCACGCTTGTCAAGTCTTGCCATCAAACAAGTGACATCAACAAGTGTCGTCAAACACAAGTGTGTAAACGGGGTGTTTGGGTTGGATTCACTTGGATTCTGTTTATGTTTATAATTTGAAAAAATATGACAAGCCAAACGCAATAGCCAATATAACTGCAACATATGCTATGTTTGCCTTTTCGGAACACCAAACGTTTATAAAGGCTAAACTAGGTAAGGCAGGCAAGGTGTAAACTAGGCATTAAACAAAAGATGTTTCTTGGAGATCTGTTATTTACTCTGCTTTATAAGTACAGTCTACTTTGCTGCAAATATGTATATGTACTTCAATATGTTTATTGTACATATTGTTATTATAGTACAATTAGGAGGTTAGCAGTGGCTGGTAAACAATTACATTGTATCAAGAGTTTTATTAGTTTTAATTTTTATATAAGCTTTGGAAGATTTTTTTCTGATATTTGATTTAACCTCTTACCTTTTTTTTATGGAAGAGGGACCAAACGAGTCACCTAATAGAAAGTGAATACCGCCGCCAATGAACGCCTACAACCTTTTAGGGAGGAGTACGCTTTTTTCTTCAGTCCGGTCCAGATAAACCGCAGACGATAACCTGTTCCACAGATTAATAATAATATTTTTTTAATTCAAAAGCTTTTTACAATTTTATAATTTACAATTTTATTTTATAATGGCAGAAGTACTTAAAATCGAAGACAATCTCTTACATGTTACAAAGAGTGATAGTCGTGGCTACAGCCAAACTAGGGTTATAAACCTGTATCTCAGCATGTAGCGTATATGTACTACGTTACAAAAATGACAAAGCGATGTACGATATTAATTATAAAGAAGACAAACCGTTTGTGTATGTGTATGTACATATGTGTGTGTTACCCAATCACATATTTGATCAACATTTAATAACTATTAGGTTTTCAGTTTCGTCATAAGACAGATTCTGGCAAAAGGCACAAACTTTCCATTTGATTGAAATTGGTTGTGCGAGGCAAAAAGTGTAAAATCAAAAAAGCACACAGTCGTATAGTGCCAATTATTCTAGTGATGGGCATCAAAATTTTGAAGTAGGGTACTTACATAATATTTTATTTAATCGCATTGCTTGGCAGTTAGTCAAGACTAAATGTTAAGCATTAATTGCATTGAGATAGGGTCAGGTACCATCACTCACTCAGTGAGAAGTAACTGAAGAATTGCTTAACACCAATTTTCTGATGAGCCGGTCCATACATGGGCTCTCTCACGGTACACGGTTTTTGACATGTAAATTCTGCCCAAACTTAACTAGTTACTGGTTGAGAACCAGGACAGTGCTGGATTAACATGTACGGTACTGGTTCACCTCCAAATGCAATCTTAATTTTTGTTCTCTATTCATCGAGTTTTAGCTTATCTGAATTTGTTGTAACCTTGAATTTACTTAATGTAAACGATTTTCCTCGCGTCTGTTCGGGGATGGCATGGGGGGTACTGTTTGGTTGAACTCGCTAATATTAGGAATTAGTAGTTCGAATTGAAATTATTTTAATGTTGGATAGCCAGTTTATCAAGGGAGGCTGTATACATCACACTACACAATAGGAGCCGAGCATCAATGTAAAGTGTTCCAAAAAGGGGGTTTACTCCGCTTGAGAGACGAAGACGAAGTTGGTCTTATGCCTAGTTTACAGGCATGACGAGGCTTGGCAAACGTCCACAAGCTCCAAGTCTTTACAAACGCTTGGA